GCTTCCCCACTTTGGCTGGCCCTAACTATCTTGTTGATTACAGTCAACCCAGCTCCTTTTCGCTCATCATGTCCAGCTTCCACCCGGACTCCCAGGTTTACACTTCCAGGGGTTTGCCTGATGGAGGTTCTGTGACACTGATATCATGTGCTTCACCTGGCGTTTCCCAGGGCTCTGTGCTGAAGATACTCATGTCATCATGGCCTCGTTTTATTGTCTTTCTGTACAATGTGTTGGCCATAAAATTAATTTATGATACTTATTTGGGGACTGTAAAATCTCTCTCCAAAGCAGTAGCATGTCTCTCAATGTACTTTCTGGGACATGTCCTGGTTATAGGATATTTTGGTCTTCCCCTCTGGAACTTGAAGCACAGAAAGGAAGTTACATAGACAAGCAAAGTTTCTGTTTGTCTGTTAGATTACAACTTCTGGAATTGCCCACATAATCTGAAGTTTTATTAATGCGAAGTCTTTTATATCTGCCCTGCTTTCCTCTCCCCATACCTGGTGGTGTGGTGAAGACAGCCGGCCCTGGCTTGCAAAGATCCAATTGTTAAATCTCCAGAAGGCAGGCAAGCCAGTTGTTAAATCTTGGCAGCTTGAAATTGGCAATATTTACACCACAGAAATCAGCAAATGGTACAAATCAGCTCCTGCCATTCTTCTTTCCTCTGCCATAACATCGCCTTGTCACAGATAGGGGCTGCTCCTGTAGCCTGGCTCTTAGAATGGAAAAGACATATTGAACAGGAGCAGAGCTTCAACTGGTGGTTATGTGAACAAAAAGATACGTTTCTGTTGTTAAGTCAGTGAGAGTTTTGGAGTTACTGTGGCACAGATTATCAAAAGCTGACTAAAATGGCAGTCTGGACTATGTGTGTTCCCACCCATACACAGCATTAGCATGAAAACAGGAGCTTCAGGTGAACACTGATACAACTGTGTTTTATCAACAATTCAAAACCCAAGAATATATTGCTATGAATAAAGCTGCCAGGAACATTCTCGAACATTTGGTGGACACATGCACTCGATTTTCTGGGGTATAGAGCTAGATTTGGAGTAGCTGGGTCGCTGGATTCAGCTTTAGTAGACGCACACCGTCAAGATGGTCTTGAGATTGGTGTCAGAAGTCAGGGAGGGGGTAGTCCTGTGGCACCGAGCCCCTAACCTGTGGGATCTGAAGCTAACTCCAGGAAGATAGTGTCAGCACTGAATGGAGTCATAGAACAGCGCCAGCTGGTGTCTGGAGAATCAGAGAATTGCTGGCTGTGGAAAACCCACATATTTGGTGACCTGAAGTGATCTGTGAGTAGAGTGTTGTAGTAAAGGAGAAACCAAAGAGTTTCTCCTTCACATCTGGTGGGAGTCGTGTAGTTGGGATAGAGGAGAAACACAGGGGTGTTTTTCCTCTTCAAGGGAAATGACAGGGGTGGGGGTGGGGAAAGGCACAGAACCGAAGGAGAGCAGGTGTTTGCCTGCGGGTGGGAGAGCAATGATCTGGAAGATTGGGAAGTGTGGGGAAGACAAGTTGCTTCCTCCTCATCTAGACCACGTGCTCCCTGAGGGGCCCTCCATCCTGGCCCCAGCGCATGCAGCAGCAGGCGCTCAGCACATGCTTGTGAATAGGAGGTGGCAGCAGGGAGCAGGGATCTTCTGCAGCGCTGAGTTCCCTGAATGCCCTAAGAAAGGTAGTGAAGTTTCAAGCCTTCGGCCCTACTCAGAACACAGAGGCCTAATTGTTAAGGCTTGTGTTAGAAATGAAATAAGAAAACAAAACTAAATCAGTTGTGCTTAAAAAGAAACATGACCATTTTACTTTAGCTTCAGAGCAAGCCTCAGTCATTTTGTGATTGGGTTATTAATTGGTTCCTGAGTTCTCTGATTGGAGGAAAAAGGCATAAATCAGTAATTCAGTGTGATTCTCCAAGGGTGTCAACATTCCTGGGTGGTGAGGAATAGAAATGGTGGGGTGGGCAGGGGAGGGGGGAGAAAAAGTATGGGCCTGGGTGCCTCAAAGCTCTCTATAGACTCCAGCTCTGGTCCCGCTGCTCTCCCGCCCTGCTGTGGCTCCCATGGGCTTGTGGGATCAACCTCAGGGAGGGGTGTGGGGCCTAGGAAGGTCATGCCAATACCTGGCCTCTCGGGGCCTGCCTTCTGGGAGGTTTAACATTCGGGCCACAAGATGTCCAGATGTACACACCTGCATGCAGCTGGGGATTCAGGATGGTCTGGGGAAGGCTGGACTTACCTTATATACAGATGTAGAGTTATAGGACTTATGAAAGGATAGTTCAGCCCCCTCCCCTAAGTGAATCTCCTTCTCCCACCTTGCCCTAGCCCTATTGCCTCAGCTCACTGCCTTGCAGTAGACAAACAAAAGTGCTCTTAAGTCTCCTTCTGAATTTTGTCCTCTGAAATTGTCAGGAGGAGCGAGGCTCTCATCTGCATCCTACAACCCCAGAACAGAAAATTTCAGGGGAGGAGGTGAGGTAGTCATGGGAATCTTCTGAGAGTAAGGGGCTCCAGAAAATGGGACTGGAGCTGCTCTCTGGGGTGACCCCCTGGGGTTGGAGTCTGTAGGATCTGAAGGCTGAGAGCCTGGGATCTGCATCCCAGGTAGAGCCCTGGAGCGGAGGTTGGGTCTTAGGTGTAGCATGCCCAGATAGGACTCTTTGTGCCCCTGAAGGGTGTCTATGGAGCCCCAGAGGTGGAGGACAATTTTGGGGTGGGGAGAGGAACCTCTCAGCAGCCAACCTTATAGCAGTTCCAAATAAAGATCAGCCTTTCTTGTCCTGTCTTCTCACGCCTCATCTCCTGATCGCTTGCTTACTCCACTCCAGCTTTTTGTTCTTCCTCAGATGGTCCAGCACATTCTTACCTGAAGGCCCCCTGCTCTTGCTGCTCCCTCCTTCTGGAGAACACTTGTCCTGTTGCCCTAGGCATCCATTGTTCTCTTCCTCCCCTCCCTTAGGTCTGTGCTTCAAGGCCTCCTTCTCGCCCTTCTCCTCCTCCCAGAGGCCTTCCCTGACTCACCTATTGAGCACTGTAATGACTCTAACAATCCCCTCCCACCTGGCACACTTACCCCCTACCCGGCATGATTTTTCTCAAAAACTCTTCTTAGCAGCAGACATTATACTACTGTTTGAATACAGTAGCACTGTCTGGTTTCCTTGTCTTTAATCTCCCAACAACAGACCCCAGGGTCTACTGTTAGTAATAAAAGGGTCAATTATAAATACGCTTGCAGTAGTGAACATTCATGAAACATCTGACTCCATAGATGTCCCAACATCAGGTTATAGGGTCCCTAAAAAGCACACGCTTGGCCCCAAATTCGGGCTCCATTACTCACTGCTGTGTGACTTTGGCAAAGCCTGCCTCTTGAAACCATAGTTTCCCTATCCATAAAATGGGATAATCACCCTACACCTTAATAGTTTCTGAGAATTACAGTTCCTAGCACAGAGCAGACCCTCAGTAACGGTTAGCGTCCCTCCCCGCTGGCCTTCCCTGCGCTTCCCTTCCTTATTGCTCTTCCCCAGGCCCATCTACTCTCCACAGCAGAGCGCGAGTCACTCCTTTATGCACAACAGGCAGTGAGGGACTCCCTCCGCCTCGGTGTCCCTTACTCTAGTCAGCGGTGGCTGCCTGTCTCACTCACTGGATTTTAAGTTCCTGTGGACAAGAAACGCACCTCATTCGAATTACCTGCCTTCTTCATCCAGTGTCAGCCCTTCGTGGTCAAGCAAAAATGTGGGACAAATCACTAAGTACCGTGTCTTCTCTGCTTAAAAAAGAACACTCCAAACCGGGAATCACTCGCCATTTCTTCTGCTCCGGAACGCCCTGCAGGGGGCACTCCCTCCGCCTCTCGCCTCCGGGCTGGTCCTCCCCCTTCCGCCCGGGTCCCGCGGGTGTGACCCTGCGGGGCTGGTTGCCGGCGCCGGCCCTCCCTCCACGTTCCCACCCTTCCCACCATCACAGCGCCCGAGGCTGCTCGGCCAGCCCTCCCTCTAATGGCTAACGCTTTTGTGGAAGCTTCTGAGCTAGAGTTAAAAGACAAAAAGCTCGCCAACCTCCTCGGCTCCTCTAGTTCTGATCTTCCTGCTGTTGTTTCCCCAGATTCCACCTTTTTGTTCCAATGCCTCCCTTAAATTCCAGGAGAAAGCCTTTTGGCAACTTTGTGACCTCGCCCAATTTCCGACATTCCAGATTTTTTGTTTCCCTCTTCCCAGACTTTTAATCAGTTTTCTTGTGTAAACCAGATACGAGGCCAGAATTTAATAGCGGGGCTATAAAAGCTTATCAAAAACATATCATGCACATAGCATATCACCCATATTCCAAAACAGCTTCCAGGAATGGCAAAGTGGGCATATATTTTACACAAACTGCGTTATAAGCAAGAGCTAATAAACTAATAACCTATGAGATCTTATGGAGAAGCAGTAAAGTCAAAATTAGGAGCAGTTCCTCCTAGCCAGTCTCTAGTTCTGATCTTCCTGCTGTTGTTTCCCCAGATTCCACCTTTTTGTTCCAATGCCTCCCTTAAATTCCAGGAGAAAGCCTTTTGGCAACTTTGTGACCTCGCCCAATTTCCGACATTCCAGATTTTTTGTTTCCCTCTTCCCAGACTTTTAATCAGTTTTCTTGTGTAAACCAGATACGAGGCCAGAATTTAATAGCGGGGCTATAAAAGCTTATCAAAAACATCATGCACATAGCATATCACCCATATTCCAAAACAGCTTCCAGGAATGGCAAAGTGGGCATATATTTTACACAAACTGCGTTATAAGCAAGAGCTAATAAACTAATAACCTATGAGATCTTATGGAGAAGCAGTAAAGTCAAAATTAGGAGCAGTTCCTCCTAGCCAGCCCATCCGGTGACCCCCTCCCCCGCTCTGCGGCAGGAACTCCACTCGGGCGCGTGGGGCTTTGCTGCAGCCGCCCTGCCCACGCACACCCAACTGAGACTCAGACCACGCCAGCCATGCCACGAGGTGTGTTTTATTTTCATTAATCATACAAATAATTTTCTATAGTATCCCGAGGCAAACCGGAGAATTTGGCAGTCCGATTGGGGGGGGGTCCCCTCAGAGACCCACAGGCCGGTGGCATGGGCACGGAGTGCCTGGGTTCACAGTGCAGCTTGTCGCTCTTGTCCATCTTGCAGGTGGTTCTTTCTCCACATCACGACTGGGTCTCGAAGATGATGGGGGTGGAGAATCCTCCAGGTTCTTAGGAAATTTCACTCCGCTTCTCCTGCTCAATGGCTGTGGAGAGCAGGAAAGAGTCTGCGGCTGTAAGGACACCTTGCTCCCCCACCAACGAGGCGCTTACAGACCTGGGTGTGGGCGAAGTACCTACGAGGTCTGGGGGCTAAGACAGGGTCTTGGAGCTGGGGAGGGACAAGGCGCTTTGTGTGAGAGAAACGGGGCTGGGGCCTCCCGCACCGGGGGCATTGGCTGGGTGGGGGTGGCGGGCTGGGTTCTCGGAAGGGCGGGGTGCGGGCCCGGGCCCGCAGGCCGGAAGGCGGGGGCGCACTCACTCTCTTTGGTAGGCAGGGTGTTCTTCTCCTGCGTCTCCGTTTTCTTCAGCTTGGCCTTATCGAAGCTGGCAATTTCCCCCATGTCCGGCTTGTCTGCCATTTTCTTAAAACAATCCTAGTGGGCAAATGAAGGCGGTTGGCCGGGGCCGGGGCCAGCGTCCCCTTCGCGCTCTCCGCCGACGCCTCTCGACGTGGCACTCCAGCCGGGGCGTTGCCGGCAGCCCCACGGCCGAGGATCAGGGCGCGTCCCGCACCCCCCTCCGCAGCCCCAGGGCGTGGTCGGCCGGCCCGGGCGTCCCGTCGGGGAAAGGAGCCTGTTGCGGCGGCGACGCGCCTGCCGGGTACACCCGCTCCGACCCCACCCGGATGGAGCCCCCGCCCCAGCTCAGGGCTCACCCAGGAGTTCCGCTCCGAGCCCGAGGGCCTGATACTCCTCCCCGAGCTGCAGCAAGAGACAAAAGAGCGGCGCCCGCCCCTCGCCTTATATACATCGCGCCCTGCCCCCGCCCCTCGCCCGCCGCAGCGGGGGCGGTGCTGGCGGGCGAGGGGCTGGGCCTCCGCTTTTCTGCCGCGCCTTCCGCGGGGCTGCCCGCGGGGCTGGGCGTGGCTCTTCCCGCGCGCGGGGTCCCTGTGCCCAGTGCCGCCTACGGCCAGGATCCCGGCGTGGAGACTGCGGGACGTGCCAGCGCGGGTGTCAGGCCTTGGTTATCTTTTGGGGCCGCACCTCCATCTCGATGCTCGCCCTCAGAGGGGGGTGGGGGAGGGGCGCCGGAGTGTGTGTGGGTGGGGGGGTTATGGGTGTGAAGGTGCGTGCGTGCACGCGCGTTCTGCTGCAATCTGTGCCCTCAGGAGACCCCCTCCGCCCCGTCGTAGTGCAGTACCCACGTCCTTTGCCTTTATCTCAGTAGAACTCACCCCTTCTCCCCTTTACCTCTCCTTGGAGAGGCTGAGCCCTTGGGTGGTCTCACACTGAAAATTTGAGCCGAGCTTCGTGGAAGACGGGGCAAACAGGTTTCACTGCTGTGCTCTGTTTAAGGGTCGGTTACGCTGTCGGTGTCGTCTCCCTTCTCTGAGCTGGGCAGCTCTTACAGGCGGGTGCTCCTTAAATGCTCACAAGCTTTGTCTGAAGGGCGGTGGTGGGAGCGGCAGTCCCAAGAGGGTCCTCCGAGTTCCTTCGACAGGGCTCCTAGGAAGGCTCTGTCCGAGGGTGCTGTTTTCCGTCTTGAAGTTAACCTTGAAGATTTCCCTACAAATGTTTTTGTCTACCAACGTTATAGGAGCGATAAAATGCAATTGTTCAAGTAATTCATAAAAATCTATTTTCAGCCTGTGCAGCATAGATAATAAGTTCCATAAATTAACAACCCAGGGATGAAGCTGGTCCTTATTTTATCTGTCCAGAGCTTTTCTTTTCAAGGCTCAAGGAGTACTAGCAAGCTGTGCTAAAGTGGAATTTGGTAGAAATATCCTAAATTCTGCCTAGTCCTTCCTGATTTTATTTGCTTTTCTCACATTCCCTCGGTGTTGGGAACGGAAGAAAAAGTGCTTATGAATTTGATATAACAAACTCTTTGTGTGACACGGGGCCAGAGTTTTCCTGCACCTCAGTTTTTTTCACCTGTGAAATAGCTTTGGCAGGAAGCTGAAGATAAAGAACAGGTAGGAACAGGAAGATAAAGAGAAAGTAGAAACTTAAGATGACAGTCCCTTTAGAATGCCACACTCAAACTTAATGAGTGTATCAGTCAACTGCTGATACAATATGCTGTGTCACAGACTACCCCCAAAAATCAGTGCTTAAATAATAATAATTTATTCTGACTCATTCTTCTGTAGGTCAGCTGCTGCTGGGTTGGGCTAGGCTGGGCTTGGCTCCAGGTTCCCAGTTGGATCAGGGTCTGCTCCACATCTGGACCAGAATCTAGCTGGTGCTTGTTCTTAGGGTGATAGCAAAACAGCAAAAGGGCTGTAGCACAAGACAGTGTAGAAGTTTTGAAGTGTGTGTAAAAGCATGTCATGTCACCTCATGTCTATTAACATCCCATTAGCCAAACTCACCATCAAAGGTGTGGGGAAATTTATTCATCCCATGGTAGGAGAGGAAGGGGAATGAACATTTCCTGAATAAAAAGCCAACTTCATGGTCCCAGTACTGTAATAAAGAGCCCACCTAAGTGGTTTAATGCAATAAAAGTTTACTTCCCATGCATGCAGCAATATTACATGCTTATGTTTCTCCTCAGGCAGCTCACCAACATGTAGTGAGTCGGGCACCCAGGCCTCTTCTCTTGTCTGTATGCCCTCCTCTAGGTCTTGGAAGTTTATTCCATCCAGCCAGTGGATGGGAAAAGAGAAAATAGAGGACTGCACCAGAATTTTATGGACCAGTCTTAGAAGTAGTCTCCATCACTTTCTCATCTCTTCAGCCAGGGCTTAGTCACATGGGCTTAATGAACTGCAAGGGAGGCTGGGAAGTATAGTCAAGCTGTACACCTAGGAGAGAAAGATAGCAGGGTTGGGAGGGCATGGAGCAGTCTCTGCTATCCGCTATTGAAGGATCTGCCAAATTTAAGCATGCAAATACCCAGACATCCAAGACTTCAACTCTTTGGAAGGTCTCACTGGTACCTGATTCCTTTTCAGATGCAATGCCAAGCACTGTTTACCTTCCTGGGCCCCACCTTTGGCCTGAGCATGGGAATCTTCTATTCTCTTGTCCCAATTTGGACTGATGGTTGAACTCCAGTTCCAACTTCCTTTTATTTGGGAAATAAAACAATCTATTTCTTAACAGATACAGCTGTGGAGACACACATTTCAAACACATCAAGCATGCAGGATTCCCAAACAAAGGAGCTTTAAGCCGACTTGCAGGCATTCTTTATTCTCTTCTCACTCAGTGCAGCTCTGTAGTCCATGTCTATGAAAATGGGTAGCCTGTTTGCCATTTGTTGCTTAAGAACAACAGTTAAGTCTTAGTCTCCTCCAATCCCATGGTTAGTGTTTTTAAAACATCTGCATATTCTTTGAGACTTCTTCCACCATTTCTTGAGTATAGACTGTCCTTCATGACTGCAATATAGTAAGTCACAAGAAAAACATATTTGGTTACTTAGATGACCAAATACGTATTTCCCAGGTTTATTTGTTCTTCATCCACAGTTCCTAAGGACACTACTGCAGTCTTAAATGGGAAATAGGTGTCTTCTCCTGTTAATGAGAGACTTGTGGACCCCACCCAAGGGCAAGGGCTGGAGGTTGAATCAGCCAAAGGCCAATAATTTAGTCAGTCATGACTATGCAGTGAAGCCCTCACAAAAAAGGAAAGTTATACTATTTTTGGGTCTTACTTTTCTGTCAGAGAGAGAGCTACTCCACTTAGGGAACCGAGCCAGGCCCCAAGCTCCATGAGTATAGAAGCTCTTTTATTTGGGACCTTTGCTGCGTATCTCTTCATCTGGCTGTTAACTTCTAGCCTTTACAGTATCCTTTATTAAACTGGTAAACATAGATGTTTTTCTGAGTTCTGGGAACTGCTCTAACAAATTAATCAAACCTAAGGGGAAGGTCATGGGGACCTCCAATCTGTAGCCGGTAGGTCAGATGCACAGGGAACCACCTGGGGCTTGTGACCAGTGTCTGGAATGGGGGTGTAGGGGCAGTCATGTAGGATAGAGCCCTTAACCTGGGAATTGGATGCTGTCTCCAGGCAGATAGCATCAGATTTGAGTTCTCGGACACCCTGTTGGTGTTTGAGACTTGCTTGGTATTGTGTGTGTGTGAAGACCTCCACCCCTGACCCACCCCACAACACACACACGTAGGAATTGGGGCAGGAACCTGAGAGGAGTTACAATACTGTATTACTGTGTATAATACTATTACTGTTGTTATATATAGGAAGGAGAACAACCCACAATGACTTAATAAAATGTGGCAAAAGTCATGCTTTTAGACTCATGAGACTAGGACATTAAAGGCTACATGGTTTTGCCTGATACTCTCTCTTTGGATGTCCCACACACTGAAAAAAACCAAGTATCTTCAAGGAAAGACCATTTGTAGGCATTCCAGCCACAGTCTCCACTGAGGGCTGAGCTGATAGTCAGCATCAACCACTAAACATGCAAGCAGAAGAGCCATCAAAGCTTTCAGACTGCCCCAGCCAATGCCGAGTGGAGCAGATACAAGCTGTCCCTGGCCAAATTGCAGATTCCTGAACAAAATAAAGGTAGCAGTTTAAAGGTGCTAAGTTTTGGGATGTTTTCTTATGCAGATGGAAAAATTATAACTTTATATCAAGGCGTCAGGGTCTCAGGCCCCATTTGGGGATTTTTCCCCCTAAAAATCTTCCATAGTACTCACACATATACTTATGCAATAAACATTTATCAAATGCCATGAAGTATCTGGCAGTGTTCTGAATGTGGAGGATAGAAAGATGAAGAGACTCTTATGAGATAAGCCTAGTGTACTAAGTGAATGACTCTAAGTTAATCAACAAACTCACGCTTGTGCATTGCATTTACTTACGACTAGGGCATCATTTATGTTTGACAACATTTCAGTCTGCTGCCTGGAACAGATTGTATACTCCTCACAGATGGTATAGAGAAAGCTGAGCTGCTCAAGTCCGATTACATTTCCATTTTCGTTGTTGAGAAGGATGCTTTGGAAAAGTAGAGCAAATAAGAGGGACCTAAGGGGGTATTGATGACTGTCAACTTGGGGTTGGGGGGAGGGAATCCTTTGGAGATTTGCCATAGGACATCATCCCTCAGGCCTTTCCAATTTGACATTAAAATCAGAGACTTGAAAGGGGTGATAGAATGTTGATTATACCAGGAAGAATGCAATTCTGTAAACACTAATGCAAGCTGAATCCTGTGGAAAAGTGGACAAAATACAGTGAGATGAATTTGATAGGGACAGATGTGAAGCCTTCATGGCCTGACCATAAATCCTGCAAATGCAGGGGGATACTTTTAATGTGATTACCTCTCCAGCAGCGGTGAAGGAGGAAGGAAGAGCTCAGCCTAGATTTCCTTTGACGGTAAGGATGACATTCCTGCTTCAGGGCCTTTGTCCTTGATGATCAGAGATGATCAAACCAGTGCTGAAATGCTCATATGAGATGCTCTTATTAGTCTAGGTATTCACATATCGCACCTTCTTATTTCATTTCGAAAGCTACTTAAGTAGCTCTCCTTGACCACCCATACAGAGTAACACCACTGTCATTCTCTCACCTTCTACCTTCTTTCATTTTTCTTCATAGGACCTATCTCTATCAATCATGGTATATATTCATTTCTTTGTTTATTGTCTATCCCCCACCCTAGGAAATGGGAGACCTCCTCTGTTTCGCTTACCACTGCATCCCCAACACCAAATGCAATGCCTGACACACTGTAAGTGCTCAATCACTAGTCTCTGAACTAAGGCATCAAACTCCTAATCTAAATGGAGTAGTCAGCTTGGGAGGAGGTGATGAGTTCTCTGAGGCATTCAGTGAGAAATGGACAGCCAAGGGCGTGGACTGCTACAGAGATG